CACAACGGCCAACTGGTACTACAGATTTCTCTGTCCCCACAGTCACAGCCTGGTATTGAGTTCCTCTTGGACCCCAGCCCCTGGCCCAGCTCAGCTGCCCAACCTCAACTTCACCCTAAAAGCTATCCCCTTACATATTGCCAGGTTCCCCCCAAACGCCACCTACCCCAAGCACTGCCCTCTCCCTATATTCATTCACAGCCCCCTGACTATACTCCTCCATTAAAAGGAAATCTATCCTCCTCTTCTGGTGGCCTCCAGGGCTACCAAAGGAGAAGAGAAAGGCTTCGGCAGCTTTGTAGTAGTGCGACAGCCCCCAGAATTGGGGGGGGATGCATGCCATGTGGGACTGGGCTCGGGGAGCAGGGGGGACCTGCAGCTCTGGCCCGGGACCTGGTGATGCTTCTTGGTCCCCGCCGCATTGCCAGGGATCTGCGGTTACTGCTACTGCAGCGCCTGTGGCAGGGTCGTGCTGGACCCGCTCCAGCCGTGGAGTATCCTATATGTTTGGTGTGCCGCAAACCAAGAGGGCCCTCCTGCCCAGCCCCCAGCCACTGGCCTGGACCCCAGCTTCTTGCCTTCCCACAACTGCTGCCCTCCAGGCAAGGGCTGGAGCTGGGGTCTGGGCAGCTCCGCGTCGGCATCGGCTTTGGCTTGCGCCTGCAACGGGATCAGGCCCAAGCTTTGGAACTGCTGCCCAAGAAAGAAATCGAGGAGCTGGAGTATGTGGTAGAGGCCCAGTGCCCCAAAGAAGAAAGCTTCTCAGCCCCAGAGCCTCAATTCCCACCTTGCATCCCCTGCCCAGAGTCTCCACATCTGCTGGTCCCAGACCCTGGTCCTGCTTTCCCAAAGCCCAGCCCTTTCCCTCCAGGCCATGTGCCCACATACCCAGAGGCCCCCACCCACACTTCATCTCCAAGCAAGAACCTGGGTGCATCTGCCTAGGAACAGCCCGGGCCCCATTCCCTTTATTCAGGCCCAGACCCCAAAGTACTGGGAGCCCAAGGGACACCCTGAAGGGATGGCTGGGTGGAGTCCATGTCTACTCTCCATCCCGGAATCCTGGGAGTCCTTTATGGAGTCTGCTGTCCCCAGGCTAAAAATGGCCAAAGGGTGCTATAGAGTCTCCCTAACACCACCAGCACTTGGCCCTCATTCTGTAGTCCACAATAAAGAGGATGCTACAGAACTGTGTGTGCATGCGTGAATGTATCATTATGAGCAGCATTAGCATAAGCACTCCCTGTCCCTTTCCTCTCCACACACCTCATGAAGCAGAACTCCCAGTCTCTCCCAATTCTCAGCACCTTACTCATTCTCTCCAATCAAAAGTACAAGTCTCAGATACAGATGAGGAACCGAAGCAAGGGAATACAGAGGAGTCTTTCAATGACACTATGAGAATTAGGTAAGGTAGTATGATACAGTGGAAGGAGGGTTGAACTTGATATCAGAAGACATAGGTCCATATCTTCCACATTCATTAGCTGTGTGACTCAGCAATTCAATAAACTTCTTGGTTTTAACTGCCCCTATCTACCTCTTATAGTTGTTACGAGGAAAGTGCTCTGCAAACCTCAAAGAGCTATATAAATGTGAGTTATTCTGGGTAGGAGTAATTCTATCCTGAAGCTTACCTTTCCAAAGGACACTAGGTTATACATGATATAGTAGAAAGTAATTAGACTTGCAAGTCAGTCAGGAGAAACCGGGGTTCTAACACAATGGTACAGAAGTTCTGGCTGTGGAATCAGATCTTGGTTCTGCCCTTCCTACCTGTACGACCTGGAGCAATTCACTTAACTTCTCTGGAGCTTGGTTTCGTCATCTGTAAAATGAAAAGACTAGATCAGATGACCTATGTCATAGGTCCTATGAGGTCCCTTCTAGTTTTAAATCTGTGATACTCTAACCTCATCTGTGATATTTAACAGCTGTGTAATCCTGAGCAAGACCCTTAACCTGTGTGACCCCCAATTTCCTCATCTACACAATGGGGATAACAGAATCATAGACTCTCAGAATTGGAAAGGACTTAAAAGACCATTTAATGCAATTTGCACCCAAATCCTCTCTGCAGTATCCCTGACAAGTTATCATCAGGACTCTGCTGGAAGAGCTCTAGTGAGAGAGAACCCATTATCAAGGCAGCCTCTTTTAGATAGCTCTAATTGTTAGCATAATTCAAACTGTTAGGAGGTAACGAAGTGGTTAGAGTGCTGGGCCTGGAGTCAGGACCCGGGTTCAAATCTGATATCACTTATTAGCTATGGGACCCTGGGTAAATCACTGTAAGTAAGGTGGATTTTTGTGTGTGTAAGGAGGATTATTATTCCTTTTTAGATAATAGTTCCAGGATCCTAGAAAATATTTCCCACGAATTATGGTTGAAAACAACTTCTACTGTGCAGTCGCAGTGAGATATAGGGGTAACATAATATGATATTTACTATGCATGCACTGTGCTAGGTCATGATGATATTGCTAAAGTTAACCTGTGGGCTTAATGCTGGCAACATGCCTTCATTGTCCATTGCCCTATAAAGCAAGTAGGCACTGGTCAGTAAGTGGGGAACCCATTTTGGGATTTGGATAATGCATAGAGGAATGCATGTACCTACCTTGATTGGACCAACCAACCCCAATTGAGGTTTAGGGGAATGAGATAGGAGTTATGTCCCTACTTTGTATATTCTCGCCCACTCCTTCGAGAAGTGTGATTAGGGAATGCTGTTGGAGTTAGTGCTCTCATTATCAGCAACCTTACTGGACGACTAGACTAGAATAAAGTAAGCTTAACCTCTCCAAAGCTGTCTGACCAGATCAAAAGTGAACCTGTGCTAGAACACCTATTAGTGTTAGGAGCCCTCCTGTGTTCTCTTGCCCAACAACCGGTGTTACCTGTGTGTTTACCTGTGAAATAGTCATTTAACCCTTTTTGCTTCAGTTTCTTCATTTGTAAAATGAGCTGGAGAAGGAAATGGCAAACCACTCCATTATCTTTACCAAAAAAACAGAACAAAACTAAAAACAAAAAAAGGGCCACGAAGGGTCAAGCACAACTGAAAACAACTAAACAACTTTTGAAAGTTTTTCCAGATATCCAACCTAAATCTGCCTCTTGGCAACTTAACAAATCTAATCACTTCCCAATGACAGCCCTTTAAATACTTGAAAATAACTATCATGTCCACATTAAGTCTTCTCTAGGCAAAACATCCCTAAGTGCTTCAATTTCTCCTCTTATAGCAGGATTTTGCAGTCTACTTGGTCACCTTTCTTTGGACACTCAATAGCTGATTAATATTTTTCCTGAAATGTGGCTTTTGGAACTGAATGCCAACCAAACACCACCTGTGGTTTAACCAAGGCAGAATATAGTAGAATTTATTACCTCCCCCATTTAATAAAACTTGTACTACTTACCTTCCAGAGTTGCTGAGAAGAAAGCACTTTGTAAACATCAAAACATTAAACATATGTGTGTATGTGTATAGCTGTAACAGGGAACCAAATGACTATCCCAAGAATCTACCTGGCTTTGAATTAAAAGAATAATAATACTATAACAACCCTCTCCCCTCCCTGCTATACTGAACTTCACTCCCCACCCTCCTCCCCACTTTTTTCAAGCCAGTCAGGATTTATTGAATGACCTCATACACTACAAAAAAAGTTTACTTAGAATAAAAAGTCCCTCCACCAGTTGTGGCAGCAAGAAAATATCAAGTAACAAATGGTATAAAATACAACAAAACAGATAGCTATGGAAACACTGGCAACATGTTTTCTTACTCTCCAGATTCTCAGCCTTCAGGTAGCAGTTACTAGTCCTGGAGCTCCTGGAGGGGTAACTATACTAGAGCCACCATAGTGAGTGCTTAATTGTTGTTTGTCCTTAGTTTTCAAAGAGGACCAATGACATCACAAGTGATATCTTGACTTTGGGGTGAATTAGATTTAAGTGAGGCAGAGTTGCACAAAGTCATCAGCCTCACTCTCTCTTTCAGAGTCATGAAGTCCATTGGCAGGGCAAAAGTCAAGCCTACCATTGATGGCCAGGGATGCGGTGGTGTCTTTCTTCTGACCAACCTCTCAGTGCTTCACAGTACCTGCTTGGCAGCCTCCAAGGCCATTGGAACAAATTGTTCTCATCTGCCCATTCCTCTGAGGAAAGTCTTCACATGCTTGGCACAGACACACACCCCCAACTCACCAACAGGTTTGTGGCCTGTCAGTTATCCTCAACCTGGTTTAGCCCCTCTGCCACGACGGTTTGGCTGGTAGTGGTTGCCACTTGGAATGCTATAGCTTCTTGGAGCCACTGCTTAATGTTTACGGAATGAATGAACGAACCAGACTGAAGGATGGATGTAAATGAGGATGTCACCTCTGTGTCCTCCTCTTCCTCACTTCTGCAGACAAGACTACCTGGGTTGGAATGCTGGGTCCACACTGGCTTTGTGCTTACTCAGATCACTTAACTTCACTTTCCTTATCTGTAAAACGCGGATGATGTTAAGATACCTCTTTCTGAGGCTTGTTTAGAGGAACAAATGAGATTAAGGTATATTTAGGTGCTCTGCAAACTTTAGAGATACGTAAATGTCAGCAAATATGGAGGGAAATATCAGTAACTCATGCAGAAGTCACACTCCTTCCGCCCCACTCCCACCTTCTCTTGGTGGGGTGGCTCACTCAATCTCAGAGAGGCACGCTACTGAGTCTTCTCGCGAGAATTCGCGCCTCCAATCCCGTGGCCTCTGCACTGAATCTGTACCGGATCCGTATACATCGTTACTCTTCCAGGGATGTAAAGGAGACTTCCGGTACCTTGCACAGAAATGGCGGGACTTCGCAGGCGTACAGAGGAGCCTCAGACCTTGGTGCCCCTGCCCACGTGACCTGAATCTCGGCGAACGGTGGCCAGACTGTGCTGACGTGTACTGTCATCCTGCGCCTGCGCATGAAAGACCGTGGCATGGGCGCGCTTGCGCAATGCAGGCGTCTGTAGCCTGGGGTCGCTGGGCGGTGGGAAGGGGAAGGTGTTTTGGGGCCCGGTCGGAGCCGGGCGTGGAGCAGAGGCGTAGCGGAGACGACTAGGGTGCGCTGAGCGAGCGAGTGGGCACCGGGCATGACCCTGCTGTGAACCGCGAAGGGTGGAAGATGGGACGGCGCCGGGCGCCGGAGCTGTACCGGGCGCCATTCCCGCTGTACGCGCTGCGAGTCGAACCCAGCACCGGCCTCCTCATCACCGCGGGCGGGGGCGGCGCCGCCAAGACTGGCATCAAGAATGGAGTGGTGAGCCCCCGGCCCGGCGAGAAGGGGACCCCGGGGTCCATCACCCCCAGCGCCCCAACCCGGGACCACCATCCCCTGTCCCACTTATCACAGGCTTTCTCTCTTCGGGTCGCCCTGGGGCCCTTCTCCCACCCACCTTCTGGTGACCTTTGTGTCCCTCGTGTTTTAGAGGCCCCTCACTAGTGCTCCCCCCACTAGTGTCTAGTATAACGTTCCTAGTATAACCCCTGGCCCCTAAGACCGATCGACTGTTCACCCTGTGTTGCTCAAATCTGTCACTTCTTCCTTCCCTCTCCTTGTCTGTTTCCTTCCCTGTGCCACTGATGTGTCCCTGCCCCATTGGTGGCTTAGCTGGGTTCAAAGCAGAATGTCTGCCATCCCTGCTGTGGTTTTTCACTGTCTTTGCAAGCAAAACTAAAGCTTCTCCACTTCTTCACACCAGTAAGGGAAATGTACAAGGCCAGGTTAAAGTTTCCTTTCTGATGTTTTAAGAGACCAGAACTTCTTCAGGGAATTTCCAGCTTTTAACCCTGGACTCAGGTGAAGGAGATAGCCTACCTCAGAGAGGTTTACCAGGAAGTGGGGTTTCCAGGGATTGTCCTTGAAAATGAGTCCTTATGAGTCCTAGGAGACTTAAAACACCTTGCCCCCTGAGGCTGCCCTGGGCATGGGCTGAGCAGACCTCACCTTGTTCTATTTCCACAGCACTTTTTGCAACTGGAACAGATTGGTGGAGCTTTGAGTGCCTCTTTGCTGCATTCCCATGACACAGTGACTAGGGCCACCATGAACCTTGCCCTAGCAGGCAATATTCTTGCTGCGGGGCAGGATGCTAGCTGTCAGCTCCTTCAGTTCAAACCTCAAGAGCACGAGACCAGTGACAAGCAAGACAATGCAGGTGAGAAGCCTCATCTCAAACTCCTATCAGGAGAGGAACTAATGAATCTCCCTTTCAACTTTTCTCCCGCTCCACCTACTTCCACCCTGGACCCTCTGACGAGAAACAGATAATCACTACAAAGCTACACCACCACACGCCTCCCATGATGTATTGTAGAAGTTGCAGAGAAGAGCCAAGTGGAACTACTGAGCAATCTAGAACCACAGTTTGTGATTGCAGGTTCCCAGGAGCAGGGCCCGAGGCAAAGGAAGGGGGCAGGAGCCGCGGCTGAAACACAAGAAGCTGGGGCGTCAATTCAGGGAGAGGGGGTGGAGCTGAATGTGGAGAACTTGCAGTCTGTGCAGACAGACTTTGGCTCTGACCCACTGCAGAAGACTGTGTGCTTCAATCATGATAATACCTTGCTTGCCACTGGGGGCACTGATGGCTTTGTTCGTGTTTGGCAGGTACGGGTTTCTGGGAATAGGCAAGTGTGGGATTGGGGTGAGACCTAAGTTGTAAGAGAATTTGGAATGGTTCTTGGGTGAATTTGATGGTTAAATCCTGAGATAGTCTGTGAGAGTCAAGCACTGAGTGGGAAGAGAAAGTTGGCTTAGTGGGCACTGAAATTAGAGTGAATTGGCCACTGGCAGTGGTCCAGAGTTTTATATTTGTGATTTTGGCTGCAGGTGCCTAGCCTTGAAAAGGTTTTGGAGTTCAAAGCTCATGACGGGGAGATTGAAGACCTGACTTTGGGCCCTGATGACAAGGTGAGGCTATTGGAAAGGAAACAGTGAAAAAGATTAGAAGTTCAATTTGTGCGGTAAGTATGTCTCATTAATGACCCTTCCCTGTCCTTTTTTCTGTTTCTTCATCAGATGGTGACAGCAGGCTGGGATTTTAAGGCCTGTGTGTGGCAAAGGGACCAGCTGGTGACAGGGTTGCGCTGGGATGAAAACTTGCCTCCTTTACCTGACACACCTTATCGCTATCAAGCTTGCAGGTGTGAGGGCTTAAGAGGGAGGGTGAATGGAGGAGAATTCTTCATAAAGGGAGGGGAAGACCCAAGAGGAGTGGGGTAGGGATTAGTTCTACCTACGAGCCCCCAAAAAACACAGATGGGGAGAGTTGGGTTGGGAATTACCATTGGTCCCTGAAAATAGCACTTCTAAATCCATTGAGAATAGAAGAGGATAAGAGGAACTCTGTGGGGATCTGAATAGCACCACCCCTGGCCCCCAGGTTTGGGTGGGTGCCAGACCAGCCTGCTGGGCTGCGGCTCTTCACAGTGCAGATTCCCCACAAGCGCCTGCGCCGGCCACCACCCTGCTACCTCACAGCCTGGGATGGCCATAATTTCCTGCCCCTTCGGACCCAGCCTTGTGGTAACGAGGTCATTTCCTGCCTCAGTGTCAGGTATGAACTGATAATAGGGTTGGTAGATATTGAAATTGACAGCCGGGGGTGGGGTCCTGAATCAAGAGCAGATTTGAAGGGGTGAAGATCTCTGCAATTACCATGGGATTGATGAAAGTTATGCTTTTGCAGTGAATCAGGCACCTTCTTAGGCCTAGGCACCGTCACTGGCTCTGTCGCTATCTACATCTCTTTTTCCCTCCAGGTAAGTGGGTAGGGTGGGATTGTAAATGGGGTAGCATGAATGTCAGGAGGGAGGTCCAGAAGAATGGAAGTGGGAGTGGGGTGTTTGTACCCATCTGTCTCTTGTCTATGGGAGAGGACAGCCCTGCACATGGAGGGAAAGACCTGTTGGTCCAGCACATGTGTTTGCCTGTGGAATGGGGCTAAGCTGTATTTGTGACCTTCGTGATTGAAGTTGTGTCCTCCTCTCTCCAGCGTCTCTACTATCTTCGGGAGGCTCACGGCATCGTCGTGACAGATGTGGCCTTCATGCCAGAGCAGGGGCGTGGCCGAGAGCTTCTGGGGGCTCATGAAGCAGCATTGTTCTCTGTGGCCGTGGACAGTCGGTGCCAATTGCATCTGTTGCCCATTCGGCGTGAGTTTGGGGGAGGTGGTGATGGGAAGAACTGGAAGCAGAAATGGAAAGGGAGGGAGTGGTGAAGTATAGTGTCATTTCTTGGAAGCAGCACCATTTTCTCAGCGTATGCTCTTTGCCCCAAATACTTTGTTTGAGTGCTCTGTGCCTATACTCTGGACTTTCTCCTAGGGAGTGTCCCTGTGTGGTTGTTGCTGCTGCTGTGTGCTGGGCTCATCATTTTGGCCATCCTGCTGCTTCAGACTGCCTTCCCAGGCTTTCTTTAGCCTTACTTGTTTCCTGGGGGATCAGGACCCTGAACACTGAAAAGACCAGAGCCAGTCAAGGCCTAGGGCACCACTATTTCCACTGAGACTGGAGCTGAAGCTGCCCCATGAAAATGAGGAATATGATAGTGGCCCCCACCCTACCTAAAGGCTGAATGCTGCCAAACCCTGGCTCTTGGCACAGGGTTCTTCTCATTTCATCTAAGACAACAATTTCTGAGGTACCACTCGTTGCTCCTTCTAAGAGCAGAGCTGAAACTGTTCCTGAGAGGACTGAAAATGTGACAGCTGTCCCCACCTCACCTAGAGTCTGGATGCTGCACAGCCCCGGCCAGCCAGGGGCCAGACAGCCCTTTCCCCTCAACACTGTGAAGATGACTGAAGCCTTGGTGGCTATACTACCCCCACTTTGTTGGAAGGGCTCAACTCTCTCTTGCTGCTTGGTGATGAATTGAGCACATCTCATCCCTCCTCTTCTATGCAGCTCTTGTTCTTTTACCACTGAGATTAAATCAGTGTTCCAGTCCTTAACAACTGTTATGGGACTTGGAGGTTTCACCAAAAAATTAGCAGACTCATAATGCCTCAACAATAGGTTTTTTTATTATGTCGAATTTTCATTCACATAAGGGGAGGCTTAAGGCTGAAAATGAAACAAGCAGGAGTTTGGGGGAACGGGCAGCAGGGAAAGGAAATAACCAGGTCTGTCTCCAGGACCTCGAGTGTGTGCTGAGCAGACCACAGTAGGAAGAGGAAGAGGGTAGGGAAGGGGGTCAGCAGTCTTCTTTTGGAAAGGCTGCCGTTCATCAGCACAGGCAGCCCTCCTAGTTATTATGTGGGGGATGTCATCGCCTTCATACTAGGGCAACTCTGAAGCCAAAGTCTCAGGTTTTATCAGAAGGGACATGTTCTCACCCCAGCCAATCTCCTATAGCACTGGCCATTACCTAGCATCTCTCTGCCTATGTGAACAAAGCCTGGCCCAGCCAAATAGTTAATAGAAACAAGAGATGTGGAAGTTTACAGAACATGGTAGGAAGGGGGAGAAAGCCTTCCTGGTGTCCAGAGCAGGAGACAGACACACTTGGCCCACAGCTAGCCAGCCTGAGAATGGCTGCAGTAAGTTTGAGCCATCCCTAGGCATAAGGGGAGGAGAAGGGACCTCACTGAGTCAGACAGGTAAAAGTTAAGATTTAATAAATGAGAGGAGGCTGAGCTGAGGTCTGTGGCTCTTCTCCTAGGAGTCTGTCAGCCCCTGGCTTTCCTTGGAAGGCGGGGCTTCGCTGAGAGCCTGCAGTTCCCCTGCATGCTGGAAGACAGCGACAGCATACTGGTGAAAGAGGCGGCTCATGTAACAGTACCACAATGGGACCAGCCCCTCCAGGAAGGCGATGTGGCCACCCCGGGATGTAATCAGCAGTGCAACATGTGGCAAGTGTGTAGCAGCCTGCAGTGGGAAAGCTGGGGGTGGAGGGAGGAGGAGAGGGAAGGGAGAGCTCAGTCAGGAGCCAAAGACTTTATGGAGGCTCTTTACCCCCACTACCTAAGCTGGGCCCTAGGGCCAATTTTCCCTAGGATTTGAAGAATAATAGCTAACGTATCACACTATCAAGTCTGCAGATCACCTTGCCAACCTCATTTGAGCCTCACAACAGTGCTGTGAGATATAGGTGCTATTGTTATTCCCATTTTACAGATGAAAAATGAACTTAAGAGAGGTTGTGGCTTGTCCAGGATCGAGCTGTAGAGAAGGGTCTGAGGCGAGGTTTTAATCCCAGTTTTTCTGACTCTTCAGCACTATCCCATGCTACCTCTCAATGCTGAGGATGAAGAGACTCACCTTGAGGTGGGGAAAATGGGTCATCTGCTGCATTGAGACAGAGCACAGGGACACGGATTGCATCCACCTTGGCCCCAGGGCTTGCTGAATGGTAGTAGGTGTCACAGTCTTTATAGCCAAAGGCCAGTGTGGTGTAGCGCTCATCAAACTGGCGGATTGTACGGGCCTGACAGGGACAGAAGCAAGCTTAGCCATGACAGGCATGGAGACCGTTGCTAAAGGACTGGGGCAAAGGTGGAGGGTTGGTTCTCTACCTTAAGCACATAGTCCACATCCAGTTTCTCCTCGATCACCTTCCTATGTCTGTAGTAGAGTGTGTGTGTCAGGGGAGCAGTCTCAGCTCTAGTCTCCAGTAATCTTTCCCTAATTCCAGCCTGACCAGTTATCCCTCTTCCACACTGGCTACCACCCTGGCCTGCTTTTATTTTTTCAGCAGCAAAAGGCACAGTTGTACTCAACTGAAACTTCCTCCCTTTTCCCCACCCTGTCACCGCCCTACCGTCCCACAAATTTGCAGAGTGTGGTTGTGAGGTACTGGTTGAAGAGAAGTGCATTGAGTGGTGTCTCCAGAGAGCGGGTGGTTTCAAAGGAGTCCCAGCATGGAGACAGGGTCAGTGCTGCCACCACCCCTGCTTCATTACCTGTCTGTGCTAGGTGGTTCAGCACCAGGACCCTGCAAGAGATTGGAATCAGAACCATAAAGAGAGAGGGGGAAAGGGAGGTTTAGACTCTGGTGTTATTAAGAGATGGTAATCACTAAAAGAAGAGATAGAAAAGGTAACCAGCTAGGAAGCAGTCGTTTAGGGAAAGGAGGAGGAACAATTATCTGAGAGTTGGGCCTATTCAGGAAGATCATGGTCTGTAAGGAAGCAGGGCCAGAGTCCTATTAGAGGTATGAGTGAAAGAAGGGACAGAAATTCTGCGAAGGAAGGACTGCAATCTCTTTTCTCTTAGGTCAGCTCTAATAACTCAGTTGACTCTTACCCTCCTAGTGAGATTCCTACAGCCAGCAGTGGGGACTGTGGATACTGGTGTTTTATGTGATTCACAACTGTCTCCAGGTCCTCTGTGTTATCAGCGCAAAAAGCCCTGTGGGTCTGAGGACAAATAGTGTCACATGGAGATAGTAATGAACAGAAAAGGGCTGGGCTCCAGGAGTTGGGGTAGCTCAGTGGGGCAAAGTGGAAGATGGGAGTGATGCAGATAGGTACAGGGTCTGTAGGGAAACAAGGCCAAAGGCTACAAGACTGCAGGGGACAATGGGGTCAGAAGGGTGAGAACTTAATGCTAGAAAGGGGTATGGAACTCACCAGCAGTTCTTCCCCACGGCAGCCCCGGTTATTAAACACGACGGCCCTATAGCATAAACAGGCACATCTCAGCCGGATCTGCCCTAGAAGGCTTTTATCTTTTGGGGTGTCTTGCACAGAGATCCCAGTCATGAGGGACCCAAGTCTAGAATCCACAGAATTCTCACCACCTCCCAGTAGTAGGTCTCTTCCTGTATCTGTTTTCAGAGAAGGCTGCTCTTCCCTCTGCACATTCCTCCCTGCATCTGTTTCTCCATCCTGGACTATTCAGGCACCTGCCAGCCACCCACAATTACCATTCTTACCTGTAGCCATCTAGAGTGGCCTGGTGTGCTAGGCGAAGGATATAGGTCTCCTGACTGCTGCCTGTGATGCCTGGGAGCAGTAACACAGTGGGCCGGTTGACAGGGTCAGGGTATTGGCTATTCTCAGGTTCTTTGGCCCAGTCTAGCAGCAGCTGTCCCCCATCAGGTGTCTGGAGCACCTCACTGTGGAAGGGTGTATACAGAAGTATATCTAGGGATTTCTAGACCTTTGTTCCAAGAATTCTGTTAATACTCCAGCTCTTAACCCATGTGACATAACTCTCCTTCCCTACCTCAGAATCCCAAGGCAAAGTTAGTAAAAATGACTAACCTTAGTGTCGTTTATTTAATGGCTTAGGGGGTAGGGGAAGACATAATAACTAGATAGAGGTGTAGGATTTGCTGGCTGGCTATGCCAGCAAAACTCCCAAGTATGGCAGGGACCATATTTAAAATGTAATTGGGAAATGTTCAACAAAATAAATAAAAATACAACAATATTAACTTGTGGTTTTCTAAGTCAATATGCTGTTGCAGGGGTCTCTGTTTGAATTGGGCACCACTGACCTACAAGAACCATCCAGTGCCCAAAGAGAGGTTTTGTCTATAATCATAGAATGAGAAAGTGGAATAGTGGCAAGAGGGCAAGCCTAAGGGCCGACTTGTGGTATTTGTAGTGTAGTGGCACCTTTTGTGCTTGAGTTCTACCCAGGGTGTATAGGCTCGAGAGGATGGGATGGGGTCAGATAGCTAAACAGGGCTCCCCCTTTTCTAGTCTTCCTCTAATCCCTCAGATCTTCTCACCTGTGGTAGGAGACAGGGGGCCGAGACTGCACAAAGACTCGGAGGATAGTTTGAAGCCTCCCTTCAAAACACCAGGGCGTAGGGTAGAATGTTTCCATAATGATAGGGCAGTGCTGCTTCAGGAAGGCCTGGAACTGGGGCCCAGCCACCAGCCGAGGCTTCTGTAACCACAGAACAGTCTTATCTCATTCTCACCTCTAGTCTTGGCCCACCGCTGCTTCCCACGATAAGGCTAGTGTAGCACCAGACTCTAGTGGAGAACTAACCAGATGAATGGCTCCTTATCCATCCCCAGGGGTTAGTCTGCTCTGAGCCTTGATCCATAAATGTGGTCTTGACCAAGGTGGACCTGTATGGGTGAGGGGATCTTCTCTGGTTTAATGGTAGCTCCCGTACACCCCCAATCTGAAAAATTGCTAGGAGCCCAAATCACTTGTAGAGTGACAGGGCAAGCCTAACCAAAAACAGATTCTTCCATCTTTCCTAGAATGTGTAAACCCCAGGGCTGATCCCAGCATAGTCCCAGGGGCTTCTTTGCTCAGGGATGACCCAGCACAACATTGCGTTGGACTAGAACAGACATTCAAGTGATTGTTAATCAGCACCAGCATCCCAATGGCTGACTACCAGTATGGTCCAAGATTTCATGGAACAGAAATAGACCCATATTCACTTCGAAGTTAATTACAAGGTTTGTGGACAGCATACAAACCACTGGTGGAACGCTTGCTCATGGAAAAGTGTACAAGAAGATGTGCTTCCACCTCACCAGCACCATTGAGCCCCCAGCTTGACCTGGTTCTGGGAAATGAACCCACACATGTGACAGGAACCCAGATGGTCAGCTCTGTTCAAGTTCCAGACTGGTTCTATGTGGCCTAAGGCAGTTAAAAGCATTGTGGGTTTTAGGTGGACAGCTGATATTTGTATAGCATTTAAAGTTTACAGAGCATTATTTACATTTTGTCCATTTGGGCCTTATAGCAATTCTATGACATGTAGATACTGTTATTATCTCCATTTTACAATTCAAACCAAAGCCAAGAGAGATTATGATTTGCCCAGAGACACAAAAAAGTGTCTGAGATGGGATTTGAACCCTAGTCTTCCTAACTCTCAATCTAAGCACTCTTTCCACTTGGCTGTACTCACTACTTGTCAAAGGGACTGAAGCCTCTTAATGATGAACTAACCTAGGGTAAGCAGAATCATGAACGGTCATGAACGGGTCAGATAAGCATAAACAGTAGATGTTAGTAGAATTCCTTTAGGGTTGGGTTGTACTCAGGAAGTCATCCTAGCTGTTTGTCCCATCCCTTCCCACCATATCCCACAAATACTCAAATGGATCCTTTATCACATGGATGTATAGATTGCCTTCAGTGGTGCAGATTGTAACCCATCATTCCTACTCATCTTGTCGAACTTTTGTCCATGTCTTCCCATAAGTTTTCCCAGGGGATCTGCCCTGTGCACTGGAGGCCTTCCTCTGTTTCTCCTGACAATAAGAGGTGTGCCAGTGGAGTACATAAGTTAGCAGTTATCCTTTGCTCTTCACCTGACTAGCCTATCTTCTTTAATGACATCTCTTCTTCTTTGTGGTTCCTCATTTACTGTGTTGTAGCTTGTTCACATCTACCATGTCTTTCCATTGCCCTGAGTGGTACTCATTTATGACTCTTTGGAAGCTATAGTGTTTCATGACTTGCACCCATACAACACCACTAGTAGATATTGGTAGAAGATGGGGCTTGCTTTCAAGGAGAACCTAAGGGGTCATTAAAGGGACTTAGTAGTTTCCTGAAGACTGACCATCCCTTTCCTCCTAATTAATTCTAGGTTCACTCACCTCATTGTTCATTTGCATTGCCTGAGAGAGAGAGAGAGAGACACACACACACACACACACACACACACACAAACGTTCTATAGGTTGTCCATCTAACAGTATGCCATAATTTGGTCAACAGGCGTTCATTATCACCTTTGTTTTTCCATGTGGTTAGTTAAGCCAAACATTTTTATTTTTATTTATGCCCTTTTTTTATACCACATTTATTTCTGAATATTGAGCCTTCCCTTGAAACAAAGATTTAGCAAAACCCCATAGCAACAAAACCAATTGATACATCGATCAACCATGTTTGATAACACATGCAACATTTTACATCCATACTCCATCTCTCCAAGAAAAAAAGAGATTAGTCTTGGGGTGAGGAAACCTTCGGCTTCCAGGCCACATGTGGTCCTCTAGGTCCTCAAGTGTGGCTCTTTGACTGAATCCAAACTTCACGGAACAAATCCCCTTAAGAAAAGGATTTGTTCTGTAAAATTTGGACTCAGTCAAAAGGCTGCCCCCAAGGACCTAGAAGGCCACACATGACCTTGAGGCCACAGGTTCCCCACCCCTGGATTAGGCCAAAATTTTGAGTGACTATGAATCAACTTCGTTACTTGAGTTGCATCATCACCACCTCTTCTGTGACGAGGTAGCTGGTCTAATCAGTCCCCATCAGGTTGGATCTCCCAAACTGCTATGGTACTCACTTCAGTTAAATTTACAAACATCTGCCAGATCTCTCCCACCTTTCTATGTTTTACTTCAGTTACAAGCCTGTAATGCACACGCTTTGTTGATTGAGTGCTCTTTGACTGCGTTTCTCTGTTCATTTTCTCTTCTTGGACCTTGGAAGAAGATGTCTTTCTCAAGGTCTTTGCATCTATCTGTAGCTGTCAGGCTGGTCATAAGAGGTGCAGTAGGAAGGATAGGAAGTTGACAGCCAAGATGACTGAAAACATAGTTCTCAGCTCTTCCCCCATGTTGCCCTATATATTCCCCATAGCAGCAAGTGAAGACTAAGGTCTGAGCCAATCAGAGAGCATGCGGATGGAGAAGAAAGCCAAAATGCTTTAGGCTCAGAAACATCCATCCCAGTTTTGGTGCAGGAAATCATAGAACACAAATAATTTTCTCTTAGACCACTGCAGTAGGCAAAAAGGCAGGATTAGAGGGTAGGGAGATCATACTGCTTTAATGGCCATTGAGATCTGCCAAGCTCCTTAAGCTTGAAGCTATCTGAAACTTTCATATTACTTTGCAAGGAACCACAAAGGTCTGGCACATAATAGGTGCTTAATTAACGATTGTTGATTGATTATACTAGAGTGCCAATAAGGTAATGGGTGTGATTCCTGTGTAGACTATGAGCTTCATCCTAGCTAAGTGTTTCATGGCCATATTGTATGCTGTGGATCACAAGGAGGTGAGAGTGGACTTGGACAGTACAAGTCCATTACTGCTACTCAGAAAAACAACTCAAGTATATATCCTATGGTGTTGCATAATATTGATAAGATATTTATTGCTAAGCACTTTACGTACATTATTTCATTTCATCTTCATGATAACCGTATGAGGTAAGTATATATTATTATTTCAATCTTACACATGAGGACACCGAGGCTCAGACTGACATGCTCATGCTAAGTGTTTGACATTCAAACTCAGATCTTGCCAGATTCTGAGTCCAGTGCTCTTTCTATAACACCATACTGCCTCTTTAACACTAGTTTACTAACATAGATTGGAAAATTTCCCTTATATTAACCACAATTTGAAGATTTGGTGTTTCAAGACCCATAAAATGTGTCAGGAATCTCTATACTCCTGGTTATAAACAGAGGAAAAAAGGTTTAGAGAGGAACCATTCTTGCTAATGTTTGTGATCAGAATAAATGGAACTTGCTTCAAAAGAAGGAGCTTAGAACAACTTCCCAAAGGACAGAGGTGAAATTAGGGTTGTTTTTTATTTTGCTGGTGGGGGTGTGGTGTGGTACTGTGGGATTGTTAAAAGTATCCCGGTAGACCTAGCTTCTTGGAACAAAGAAGTTTAATGAAAATTGAAGAGGAAATACAACTTTGAATTTTGATTAACATCTTGAAAATACTATATTTTATTTGCTTTTTTAAGCCAAATTAAAATGTTGGTTTATAAAATCATCAGCCTCCTGACTTGATTTTCCCACTATTTAGATGATCGGAGGTCCTGGTCAGAGGGGGAAAGAGCAAGAGCCAGGCATAGCTACTGAGTCAGCCCCTAAGCTGGTTGTGGCAGTTCTGTGAGCATTCAAATAAGGTGGAATTCCCTTATTCCACTTCTAAACTGGGTGAGGTGGCACTAATAGTAGCCAATTTTGGAGTTGAGCAAGTGAACTAGCCACAGGCTTCTGAAGGCCTGGCCCTTTCATCCAGTGGAACTAATGAGCAATTTGCCCAGCCAAGATGGGAAGAGAAAAATATAGAGTGATGGCAGTTTGCTGATTCCTAGGACCTCAGTTACTCCTTCTGCCCGGCCGGGGTACTTCCCTTTTTGCCCTAACATACCTGAATGGCTAAAGCTATTGCACAGAGACCTTAACTTCCTTCCCACCATTTTTCTGTCTACAAGCAAAGGGTGCCTGAGAGCCAGGTGCTTAGCCCAAAGCTATGGCCAAAATGAAAGGTAACCTGCAAACACTTTCTTAAGGGATTCAAGTGATTCCGAGGCAAATGGGGCAGGGATCCCGTCAGTTACAATCCCCGTGTGACAGATGGGGAAACCCTAGCCATTGCTGGCTTTAGAGTCACTCAGAATCCCTGGGGAACAATTAAGGCAAGGGACTCCAAACACTTTTGCAACGTACCCCACAACCAGGCTGTACGTTACTCGATGACATCCCTGACCCTGCTCCCAGCCCAAGCAGCCCAGAGTCCCCGGCAGCGCACCCACCTGGGGCACACATGCCCAGTAGTAGCCCAGGTAGAAGGCGGCGCTAAGGCCCAAGACGAAAGGGATGAGCTCGCTCCAGAAGCCCGCCTGCGGTCCCGGATCTGCGGTCAGCATCGTCAGCCCGAGGCCCGCTTCTAGCTGCTCAGCTCCCGCTCTAAGGGCGAGTGTTCAACTTTGAAGGGAAACCACGCCCCGTCCCCCCAACACTGGGCCCCACCCTGTGCACACGATTGGAGGGTCGGGGCCCCGCCCTCGATGGTCCTCTCTGGGCCCCTCCCCTACAGGAGCCCCAGCTGGTGGACCCAAGAGCAGTGGGGTAGAGAGAGTGGGAGGGGAAGGACCTCGAAAAAGCCGAAGAAACTGAGGCCCTGAGGGGGTCAGGCTGCCCGAGGGCACGCAGGGATTGAGTGTCAGAGCCGGACCCCAGAGCCCCCAGGAACCTTATACTCGGAACTCTACACCTGGCCGGGCTCTGAAGCCTGGGCATCCGAACAAAGGCAGCTGGGATGCATTTTACCATGGGATCTAGGCACACAGCACAACGTCCTCATCCCTTGTCTCTTTTCTTCCTTCTCTTTTTTCTCTCCAGTTCTCATTTCTCTCCTTCTCTTTCGAAATTAGGAAGGATTCCCCCTCCCCCACAGGCAGTGCCACAACTCGCAACTGTCACATGATCGAGCTGTTACACAACATCACACCTAGCACTCACAAACAAGGGCAGTGATCACACAGTTATATCTGATACATCCTAGTCTTTCTCACATACATAGAAGCTGTGGCACACAACAGTATACACCCAAAACACACCCCTCCTCTTCTCTTCCTTTCATTCCTTCTTTCTCTTGTTCCTCCTTCCCTCTCTCTTCCTCCTCCCCTCCCTCCCTTCTTCCTTCATTTCTTTCTTCCCTCTTTCTTTTCCTTCCTAGGTCCTTCCTTTCTTCCTCCCTCCCTCCTTTCTTCTTCCTTCTTTCTCCCTTCCCTTCTTCCTTCACTTCTTCCTCCTTCTCTCTCTCTTCCATCCCTCCCTTTTTCCTTCCCTCCTTCCTCCCTCCTTTCTTTCCTTCCTTCTCCCTCCTTCCTTCCTTTCTTCCTTCCCCCTCCCTCATTTCCTTCCTTTCTCTCTCCTTCCTCCTTTCCTCCCTACTGTTTTTCTTTCTTCCTTTCCTCCTCCCTCCATCCCTACTCTCTCCCTCCCCTGCTCTCCCTTCTTCTTTCCTTCATTCCTCTCTCCCTCATTCCCTGCCTTCCAACCTCCTTTCTTCCTCTTACTCCTTCCTTTCTTCCTTCCTTTTCTGCTCCCTCCCTCCTTCTTTCTTTTCTCCCTTCCTCCTTTCTTCCCTTCCTCTCTCCTTTCTTTCCTTCCTCCCTCCTTCCTCCCTCTCTTCTTCCCTCCCTCCTCCTTTCTTTTCTCCCTCCCTTTCTCATTTCTTCTCCCTCCTTTCTTCCCTCCCTCATTTTCTTCCTATCTTATCTTTTTTTCCTTCCTCTCTCTATCTCTCTCTCACACACTCATCACTCCCATACAGAGGCAGCAACTGCACACACAACAGTCACATAGTCACAAGGCCAATGCAACATCCTCCAAAGTCTGTCTCTGTCAAGTAAACACAGAAGCAGTGGCTGCACCTCCAACACATCTCCCACTGTCTTTCTATCTGTCTGTCTCTCTCTCCTTCCCCCCCTCACAGAAGCAGTGACACACAGTAGTGATCTGTATACACAGCCAATACAATATCCTCTGATGTCTCTGTCTCTCCATCCATGTTACACATGAGAGTGTCATGATTATACAGTCAAAACAACATGCTTTCCCTACACACACAGTGACAAACACAACAGATACAGCAATATACAGCCAATGCACTTCTCATCAGCAATAGCCACGCATTGCTGTCATATTGGTTACCCACCCAACACATGCCTCCCTCCACAAAGTGACACCCAGCAAGGTACACAGTCACATGCCCAACACAACCCCCTCCTCCCTACTCCCGCGCCAGTTCTCTTTTGTCTCTTGTCTCTCTATCTCATTGGCACGCATGTTAGACACCCAACACAACATCTCCCCACACATCCCTCCGGATAGCTGGGCAATTGGAGGGAGGAATCGATTGATGAGATGGCCAAGATGCAGCCTGGCGTGTGGTGGGGCGGGACTGTCTTCCCATGCCCTGTAGACTAGAGGTCTGCTGAGGTCTTTTGCTTTCCCTCTACCCCATGGCTTCGGGCAGAGGCAGTGCCTGTGCCCGTGCCCGCAGAGGGGGGGGGGGGAAACACTTGGCGACGTGGAGCGGCCACGTGGAGCGGACCTGGGGCGGGGATCTGCCGCGGCTGCAGCGCGGCAGGAGAGACAAAGCCGAGGAGCCCTTCTCAGCTAGCGCAGGAGCTCAGGCAGCAGGTGAGTCTGGAACTGGTCAGGAGTCTCAGAGCTCGGAAGAGGGACTGAGCTGCCCATAGGAGCGTGAGAAGGTACGAAGGGTCCCAGCGTTTATTTGGGAGGGGGTCTGATGCCAGGGTGTGTGTGTGACTGACAATGACAGTGACAGGCAGAGTCAGGGTCTATGTGTTCCGTTATTCAGTGTTACAGCAGGTTTGAGTTGGATAGTAAACATAATATAAGGCTAACAGTGTGATGAGTCTGAGGAAAAATCCCAACTGATAAAATACTAGGCTGAATTAATTGAAATAAAAGGTTTAGAACAAGGGAAGTGATAATCCCATCCTCTTCTGGGAATTGTTTGATCAGACCTGAAGCATTGTTTCCACTTCTGGGGTCCACATGTCAAGAGGCATTGATAAGCTTAAGTATATCCAGAGGACGGTGATCCATGATGTTTAGGATGATGGGAGAGAGCTGGACACCAGATAATAGTGATGGTGGTGATATTTATATAGTACTTTAGCTTCAAGGTTTGCAAAGTGCTTTACATAGATTATTTCATTTGGTACAACTGAGAAGTAAGTGCTATTATTAATCCCATTTTACAGATGAAGAAACTGAGGCTGAAAGAAGCTTAAGTAATTTGCCCAAAGTCATACATCTAGTGAGTGTCTAAGAGCAGCTATGTGGCATGGTGAATAGAGTGCTGCCCTGAAATCAGAAGGAGCTGAGTTCAGACTCCACCAGGGCAACTTGATTAACCCTGTTTGCCTTAGTTTCCTTATCTGTCAAATGGGCTGGAGAAGGAAATGGCAAACCATTCCAGTATCTTTGCCAAGAAAATCACAAATGGGGTCATGAAGAGTTGGACACAGCTGAAATGATTGAACAACAACAACAGATGACAATAGTATGTGTCTAAGGCAGGATTTGAACTCAGTTCTTTTTTTACCAAAAGTCCAGCTCTGGGGTCCACTGACACTCAGGTCATATGAGAAACACTTAAAGGATCTGGAGAACAGTTATGTGAACGATTATGTGAATATCATTGTCTTCAGATATGTGAAGGGCTGTCACACATACAGGAATGGAGATTTGTTTCAGAGGATAGAAATAGGAGCAGTGAGCAGAAGTTACAGGAAGGCAGAACTCACTTCAGGAATGTTCAGGAACCCAATTCTGAGGTGGATCACTCCATGAATGCCTAGAGAAAGATGACTGAGTTTCAGGCCCTTGTAACTTCTCCACTGGGCTATTGCAATAGCCTTCTAATTGGCCTCCCCCAATTCTTGCTCTCTTCCCCAAGTCATCTCCCACCTAGCTATCAAAATGATTTTCCTGTCTTCTATGCCTGGAATGAACTTGCTCCTTACCTCTACCTTTAGAATCCATTTGTTGTTTAGCTGTTTCAGTTGTGCCCAGCTCTTGGCAAAGATTGAATTGTTTGCCATTTCCTTCTCCAGCCCATTTTACAAATGAGGAAACTGAGACAAACAGAGTTTAGTGACTTGTCCAGGGTCACACAGCTAGTGTGTGTCTGAGGCTGGATTTGAACTCAGTTCTTCCTGACTCCAGGCCTGGAGCTCTATCCATGGAGCCATCCAGCTGCCCTTTAGAATCCAAAATTTCCTTCAAAGCTCTCAGTTCAAGCACTGCTTTCTAAATAAAGCCTTTCCTGTCCCCCACCCCACTCCCACCCCAGCTGCTAGTGCCCTCCTTCCCAATGCTACCTTGTATTTATTTTGTATTTACTTTAATAGGTATATGTTGTGGACCTCACCCACTATAGAATGTAATCTCCTTGAGAGCTGATACTATTTCATTCTGTCCTTGTATCCAAGTGACTAGAACAATGCCCAACACATAGTGGGCCCTTAATCTATGCTCGTTGAGTGACTGAGGGACCTTTAAGATTCCTTCTAGTTCTCAAGATTCTGAATCCTTGAAATGCTGTGTCTACGAAAAAAATTCTTATTGAGTACTGACCCTGCAGAGTATTAAAATATAGATTAGTTATAGTCCCCTTCAATTACCAGTTTGAAACTTGGTAGGGAAGATAAGATATCTCCATAAACGACTAGAGTCCAAGGTAGAATGTGAGAAATGCCATAAAGGACAGTGTCCAAAAATGCCTTTTGAGCTGGACTTTGAAGCATGTAGAAGATTTCAGTGGGTACAGATGAGGATGAGAAGGGCATTTTAGGCCGAGAGGAATGAAACAAAGACTAGGGGGGTTATGAGCCCAACCAAGAGAACAATGGATACAGTAACAGCCATCTTGTAAAGGTAATCAACTCTGAGAGACTTAGTAGCTCTGATCAACACAATGACTGACTACAATTCCAAAGGACCCAGGATGATACATACTATCCACCGCCAGAAAGAGAACTGAGGGATTCAGAGTGGGAACTGAAGCACATTTTCTTCTGTCTCTTTCTTCTTGGAACGTGGCTAATGTGGAAATTTGTTTTGCATGTCTATAATATTGATAATGGATTTTATTTTTCTTGTCTTCTCATTGGGTTGGGGAAGGAGAGGGGGGAGGAGTGAATTTTGAACTGAAAATAAAATAAAATTGAATTCAACTATTTTAAAAAAAGGACAAAAGTAATAGACATCATCAAAGAACTATCCTGCAGGGACAGAAAATGGTCATTCAGCAAGAGCAAGAGATTCACTGGACAGCCAGAGTCCTCCACTAATTAGTACTCTTCTGAGGGGAGAAAACGAAGAGGGCCTTTAGCATTTGGGTAGACATGTTGTGGCAACTTTTGGGAAAACATGAAGAAAGATAACAGGCATGGAGGAGTAGTAGTCTGCATTGTTAAAGAGAACTCTGATAATGAAGAGACCACAGAACCAGTTGAGTCTTTGAATGTTTAAATATTGCTTTGCCATTTGTTATATTTTCTACCATATCCTGATGGGGGGGGCGTTACCTTCAGGATGTTAACTCATCATTAGTATCAACTAGTGCTCAAACAGTCAACAAGCAGAACAGCTGTGGATAGGTCTTTTTTTCCCTGGGAAATTAAAAAATAATTCTTAAAAAAAAAAGATAAGGTGTATTTGGGAAAAACAAAAGTAATCTGTCATAGTGGATAGAGGGCCAACACTGGAGTCCCTAACTGCCTTCCTGTCCTTTGGGTTTTTTCCTGCATACTCAGGAGGTAGCTGCCAAGGCTGGAAACCCCTTCTCTCAAGATTTCAGGTTCCGGGCTATACTTAGAGAAGAAACACAAGCATGAATGAAGTCCGCCCACTTAGGCAAATAACCGTTCTTGCTGCTATGCCTTGAACTGAATGTCACCATTTCAGTCAAATCTCACCTTCTCTGCCCCTCTCCCCACCCCTCCATGTCCAGGAAAGAACTAGCAGAGTCCCAAAAAGAGGGTAGAATTACCCACCAATCCTTCTCATAGCCAACTGAGAGGAGGAATTCCCTTCTGACTCTTTGTCCAATCATTTTTTGATCCAACCCTAGCTATCTGGGGACCAAGGAATTAATCTATCAAAAGTTCGAGTATCATAGGCTCTTCATCAAGGGACCAGAGCACAAATCCCCACAGATTCCCACAAACCATCTGGCTTTCAGAGGATAGGCCTAGCACCATGTTACCTATTATTTTCACTATTTCATCACTGACATCCACCCTCAGCTTGAACACCTCCAATAATAGATAACTGTATCTCTACAACTCTACCTCCCCCCCATCCCATTAATTCCATTCATTAGGAGGATATTCAGTCATTAGACATATAAAGGGTAGGAGCAGCTAGGTGGCAAAGTGGATAGAGCTTGGAGTCAGGAGGACCTCAGTTCAAATCTGGCCTCAGACACTTGACACTTACTAGTTGTGTGACCCTGAGCAAGTCACTTAACCCCAATTGCTTCATCAAAAAGAAAAAAAAAAGATATATAAAGGATATCACAGGATTACAAGCATATATGCATATTTACATATAAGGAGAGGAAGAAGTAAGTGGATGATGATGGGAAGAAGCTGGACACCAAATGATGATGACAACAATGACAATAACATTTATATAGTACTTTAAGGTTTATAAAGTGCTTTACATAAATTATCATATTTCATTTTCATAACAACCCTGGGAGGTAATTATTCCCATTTTACATATGAGGAAACTGAGGCTGAGAAAGGTAGACCAACTTGACCCAAGTCACACAATAAGTGTCTAAGGCAGGCTTCAAACTCAAGTCTTCTTGATTCCAAGCCCATTGCTAGATGCATTTCATAGGGGCAGAACGAACATCATAAGTAGGTGGAGCCATATGGTCTTACGGATTCTAAGCATACTCTCTTGAATAAAACCATATTCTCCTCATTGACCCTTTAGAGCTGCTAGATATTCCATCATGAGAGATCCATTCCTTTGAGTTAACAAGTGTCCTCTTAAGATGTAAAATCTCCTGGGAGGGACCCCTTTTGAGAGCTGATCACACTTTAACCATTAGATTCCTGTTAGTTGCCAGCTGAAGTTCTAACCCAAGGGAAAGGGAGTTTTAATGTGGGATGTGGGTTGGGCTGAGGGTGGGGTAAAAGGTAAAAAAGAGGAATTTTAGAGGCAATGTATCGTCCCCCAGATAGAAGTCTGGGTAGGGCATGGAGTGGAGAGCTCTGGACAGTCGGACAGCAGCATCAGCCCTTGAGGTAGCCAGGGGCAGAATATCCTTCTAGTTGTTACACTACATTTACTTTCTTGAATGCAACATTATCATTTCCTCTTAATATGTTACAAACTCCTTGAGGGCAAGGTCAATTTCATTTTTGTCTTTGTTATCTCCATCACCTAGCACAGTGCTTGACATATATGTAATAGGCACTTATTGTAATAATAATGATGATAGTAGTAATAACAACAATAGTAGCTAACACTTGTATGGTGCTTACTATGTGTGTAATGTACACAATTACACTGTGTAATTGTAAGCACTCTTACAGTTAATATCTCATTTGATCTTCACAACAACACCAAGATGTGGGTGCTATTATTATCATCCTCATCTTACAGATGAGGAAACTGAGGCACATGGGGTAAATGACTTGCCCAGGGTCACAGCTAGTGAGTGTCTGAGGCAGGCATCAAGCCCAGGTGTTCCTAAGTCATAGAAAGTCAGAACTGGATGGAAATTTAGAGATTATTGGATCTATTACTATTTCTTACAGCACCGACAGTTTCTGTTTTTGCCTCTCAGTTTTGCTTTTTGGTTGTTTTTGTTTTTTTTTTTTTTGTCTCTTGACAAGCTTGTCTTTCTCCCCCAGTCTCTGTCTTTATTTAAGTCTTCATCTTAACAAAATCTAGGCCTTTCTATCTCTTTTTACCCTGGATGTCTCTGTGCATTTCTTTTCTTTTTTCTATCCTGCTTTATTCTTGGGTTCTTCTACCCCAGGAATAGTAAGGTTAGGGCATAGGGGCCAGGGAGCCCCCAAGACCAGTGCATGGCAAGGGGTGGGGGGAAGGGAGGTAAGTGGCCAGTGGTTTGGTGGCACTGAAAAAAGTTTAGGAAAAGGTGTTGATTTGCAAGTCAGAAGATATTTTAGTCCTTATTCTGCCTCTGTGTAATCCCAAGCTACTCTCTCATCCCAGTTTGTCATCTCAGTGCCTCAGTTTCTTTATCTGTAAAAAGAGGGAGTTGAACTAGGAGATCTTTAAGATCTCTTCCAGCACTAACTTTCTCTGGTCTCTCCTTTGAGCATCTTGTCCTATACCAAGCACAATGCTGTAACTGGCCCCTGGGAGGAAAAATAATAAGTGATATTGTTATGCCACTCTAAGATTACAAAGTGTTTCACGTTACAATGATCCTGTTAGGCACTACACATGTTACTATTCCCATTTTTACAGATGAGGAAACTGAAGCTCAGAGAGGCCATTAAAAGACTTGCTCACTAATCACATAGCTAATGTCTATATGGCAGGATTTGAACCCAAATCTCTCCTGATTCCAAATCCAATGCCCTTTTCACTATACCACACTGGCAGCAGAGGTGTAAACCCTCTACTTCCTGACTCTCTGACCTTGGTCTTGGCTCCAGCTTCAGAGAAGATGCTGTCCTTGTCACTGTTGCTGTGGCTGATACCCATGGATCAGGCTGCTCCCAAGGATGGGGCTACCAGGTAAGTGGGGCAGGTAGCACATGTGGGATGAGGGAGGCAAAGCTATGGGGCTGGGAGCAGGGAGAACCTGGGGAATACCTGAGAAGGTGGAGTTGCCCATCTACATCTGTGGAGGTAGTATCCACACACTGGGAGTTCTCTACATAAGTCAACACCAAAATTGTGTGGGCTAATAATTCTTCTGTGTCCTACAGACCTGAACCTAAATCAAGCCAGCTCTTATTCTCATTCTCCAGAGAGAGAGACAGAGAGAGAGAGAGAGAGAGAGAGAGAGAGAGAGAGAGAGAGAGAGAGAGAGAGAGAGAGGAGGAAGAGAGACAGGAGGGAGAGAGAGAGCCAGGTAGCTGTAAAACAAGGGGAATACAGACTCTAAAGCTGGAAGGAAACCTAGAGGACACCTTCATTTTACAATGGAGAAACTGAGGCCCAAAGAGGTTAAGTGACCTGCCCAAGATCACCCAGGTGGGAAGAAGCAGAATTGGGATTCAAACCTCAGTCCTCTGAATGAATCAAGGTTCTCCCTTCAGGGTGGCAAGAAGGCTCTAGTAGCTGGTATGTCCTTTTCCCTGTCTCTTGGGACCCTGGTGAAGGAATAATTTTTCACCACTTTCTTATGCTGAGAAGGATCTTTGGCTCCCTATGGCAAAGACACTTGGAGAATATCCTGAGGCAACTGACCTGGGCCTCAGGAGAGTGGCTTTACAGTAAGCGGCTGGTCCTTTGCCTCTCTCTCCAGGGCGGAGGCTGAAGCAGGACTTGATCTGCCATCTAACCCTTTTCAGCCAGGCCAGGAGCAGTTCCAGTAAGTAAGCTGGGGTGGGGTTGGGGGAGAAAGGGGAGCCTGAAGGGTAGGTCCCCTGAGCTAGAAGCCTGGGGCCTCCCAAGTGCTAATTTTCTGTTGTTCCAATAGTTTGCTGCAGAACTACCTGAAAGGACTGGGACAGGCCTCTGGAGACCTGGAACAGCTAAACCGAGAACAGGGTGAGCTTGGGCCAGTAAAGATGGACAAGAGACCTACCTGAGTGTCCCAAAGGACTCAGGGTGGGGAGTCATTGTACCCATGTTACCTCACAACCTTGTCCTCTTTTACCCTAGAACCTTCCCTAACCCAGCCTCTCTTCTGCAGTGCTATTATATCTCTTTGCGCTCCATGACTTTGACCAGAGTGGACAGCTGGATGGCTTGGAACTTTTGGCTATGCTGAAAGAAGCTCTGTTTCCTGGTGCCCATGCTTCGTCTTCTACAGGTCAGGTATGGACTATCAGTTGAGGGTCCCAGCTGGAGAAGAGCTTTCTGTTTTCTAACTCTGCTACCTGTCCATAGCTCTCTAGGGCTCTGGGTGGTTATGGTGAATCCCAGAGGGGGCGGTAATAGTGTTCCTGGGAACATCTTAAATTGTTTCAAGGCCCAGCAGCTGTGAGCCCTGGCAATGACAGCAACCAACCTGGTTGTGTTGCTGCAGGTGATCAAAGTAGTAGACAAAGTGCTGGAAACCCAGGACCTGGACAGAGATGGGCTGGTGACACCTGCAGAGCTGCTTGCCCTCCCTGGAGATGTTCTGGGGCACAAAGAGCCACACGAGTCCTCTGTTCCACCTCCTGGAGACTCAGAACTTGTTGGCAGTCCTGCCATGTTGGCTATAAAACTATTAGAACAAGGCACTGGGGAGGCCATGATTCAAGAGGAAGCCACAGGCCCTGGAGGGGAAGATGGAAAGGCCATAGATCCTGGGCAGGAGGCTAGGAGCCTGGCGGAGGCCACAGGCACTGGAGAGGAGGATAGCATGAAGGCCACAGATCCTGAGCAAGAGGCCAGGAGCCTGGGAGAGGCCATAGGACCTGAAGAGGAGGATGGAAGGAAGGTCACAGACCCTGAGGAGGAGGCCCAGAGCTTGGGGGAGGCCATAGAAGGCCCTGGAGAGGAAGTGGGATACCAAAGTGAAGCTAGAGAGGAGGTCAAGGGTCCTCTAGGGGAGGCTGGAGAAGGGATGGAGATTATTGTGGCTGAAGTGGGAACCCTAGAGCTAGAAGAGCATTTAGAGCCTAGAGAGCTTCCGGGTGAGTTTGGAGGTCATGCAATTCAGCTGGAGAATGATGAAATGTGAATATTAGGGTTTAGGTCACAGTCCTGGAAGCCTCAGTCCCACATGAAGACATCAGAGAGGGGTGAGTGTGTGTGAGGCAGGGTATGAAAGTCTCTGGTGCTTCCCTAAGGCACCTGTCTCAGTGCACCACTGATCACCCTTTTCCTGATTCTAACACAGTGGCAGCCCTTCATTTGGTTCACGGAGAACCTAGAGTTCAGGTTAGAAAACAATAGTGACAACCTACCCTGAAACTCAACTGTCATCCCAGAAAAAGCAGGTAGCAGCTGGGTCAGGTCACAGAACCCATGGGCTTGTGCTGAATGACCAAGAACTGAATAGTGTTTGCCTGATGGACACTTGGCTACACATCTAGTCCAGATGAATCAGTTTGGTACATGGATGAAGGGCTTTGGGGAAAGGGTGGGTGGGCAAATGGTCCTAAGTAATCCTGGGATGCACCGGCTTGTGGCCTCTTTGTATAAAAGCCTGAAAGAATCTGAGCTGGGCTAGCTCCAGACCAACCTGTGAAATGGGAAATTTCTATTTGGTGCCAATAAATACCCTTCAATCCCTTTCCTCTTACTTAATTGCATTCGTGCTGCCCCTGGGTGTCCACCATCTCTTTCTGGGCCTATTTTCTTCCTTTCAACGCGCCCCGCCCCCCCACCTGCCTCAGTGCTCCCAGGATTCTGCTCTGCTAGCTCTCTTAAATCCATGTCTGTGTGTCCCTCCTCCCAAGTAACACTTCTAATAATACCCCAGGTTTCTAGAGCTCTTAACATATAAAGTGCTTTGCTCACAGCTTCCCTGCAGAGTGGAGAATAGTGGCTCACTTCAGGTTGATTAAGCTTTACTGTTAGTCTTGTTTTACAGAGAAGTAAACTGAGGCTCAGCAACCATGATTTGGTCAAGATCATCCAGTTACTTGGTGGGTGCAAGAGAAAAGGTTTAAAAATGAACTTCTTAATCTAGTGCTCTTTCCAATATATTGGGATGCTTTTTAGACGCTTTAACAGAAAGGACTCCAATGGTGGGGCTTGAGGTAGGACAGGCCAGTCAGGAAGATATATGAGGGCAGAGGTTAGACTCCCTAAACTCCAAGCTGATACTGGGGGCTACACAAAACTTATGTGCAGAACCAACTGTGTCAAGGCCAGTCTAACATAAGCTCAGGCTCCCCAGAGGCCTTGGGATCAGAGATGACCTGGGACTGATCTGAAGGTACTAGGAGTTGATGGGGCCTGTCTCACAGAGAATCTTTTTCCCCATGGAGAACTGAAGGGCAACTGGACTCCACCAAGCTCCATTCAGGACATTACCATCGAAGTTCCAACAGGCTCTGAGGCAACCTGACAAATGTTTATGCATATTCTTGGGGGTGGGGGGGCACACATCTGGACCCCTCAGGGATAGGGGAAAAGGTCAGGCTATTTTTCACCATCCAGGCAAATCAGTTGGACTGTACAGTGGATAAAGTTTTAGACTTGGAGCAAGGAAGACCCAAGTTCAAATCCTGCCTCAAAGACTTACTGTGTGGCAAGTCACTTAACCTCTCTTCGGCTCAGTTTCCTTGTTGGTGCCCACCTCCCAGGGTTGTGAGGCTCAAATGAGATAAGTGTCAAGCTCCTTGCAAACTTCAAAGTGCTATATAAATGCAAGCTATTAGACTCCAGGAACCTGTGATTTTGCAGCAGCCCCTCCTGCCTGGAGGATCGCCTCCAAGGGGACCTGTGACCTGCCTGCTGATGAGCCTCCAAAGACAACTAGGCTGGGCTTTGGCCAGCGGAGTCCCTGAGCCTCTCCCTGAAATCTGCTCATGTTGGTGGCAGTGGCCGCAGCTTGTGCTTCCCCAGTTTAGCCTTTGGGGATCCCTGCCCCGCTCCATGTCACAAGGAGGTATTCCACTTTAGTGAAGGAAAGTGCCATATAAATGCAAATCATTTTTTTTTCCTTCCTGGATTTTCATATACCAGACAAAAATGAATGTGCCTAGAGTCTGCCAAGAGCCCTTAGTACAGAGCATATACCAAGGGGTTTCTCTGGTAGATGGCTCTGGCCTGGGAGGAGGTTACTCCCACCAGGATGAATGGGAGTGCATCACATACAACCCCTGCAATGTCGCTAGAGAGCCTCCAGTCTCAGCCAGATTCAATCCCTGCAAGACATTAAAGGCCAGACGCTGGCTTGATAGAAGAATGTTTATTTGGTTTGAAGATAACCAAATAGCTGAGAACGGAGGTGTGGTGGGGCAGGGAGCTCCAGCCCAGGCTGCATCTGCTCTGCAATCTGGATGGCCCTGACCCCAGGGCAGGCAGAGACACCCAGCATGGCCCTGGCTTCCTTACTCCCCTAGAGCTGCTGAGGTTGTGCCTTCTGATGGCTGGTGCTTTCACACGATTCCATCATAGCCTTGTATCCCACACTTCTTGCCTGCTATTTGGCAGCCAAAAGTCAATGCCTCTTGCATGCTTTTCCCTGGAGGAAGGACAAGAAACTCAGTGGCTCTCACTTGGCATCCATCGGAAGAGTCCTCAGCTTCACCATTATAGCCTCCATTATATACTCCACCCTCCAAATTCCCTGCCCTTAGGTTCGGATGGCAGTGCTCACCCTGGGAAAGGCTGAAGATGACAGAGGCGTTGAAGGTGTCTCCGGCCCCCAGTGTGTCTACCACTCGGGGTGGTGGGAACGCATCAGAGTGCAGGAGCCGTCCATCGGGGCCCAAGGCATCTGCCCCCTCCTCTGCCCACGCGCATACTAGCATAGCCCTATAGAATACTCCATTCAGCACAAGAAGAAACCCAAGAGAACTCAAATCTGGGAAGAAAGCCCAGAGATACAGGCAAGGCAGGGTATTACACAACTACAGACTTTCATGCATCATCCTGGATACCAAGCACACTCACCAACTCCCCTTTGCTCAATGGCCCTGGCTTATTCCAAAGGACCACGAATCACTGAGGAATCCCACCCTGCTCCAGATCATTCCCAGCTCACCCTTTTCCTACACGGTTGTACAACCCCTTTAGGGTTTCAGCTGCTGACCGAAACCCCATGTGCCTGGCCACATCCTTGCTGACAAAAACCTAGTAAAAAAGGAGAAAGATGAGAGGACTAGTTAACCTAACACCAACCCCCCAACCCTGTCCCTATCTACTCAACCACTGCACTCCTGGGCTGCCCCCAGTTTCACCCTTTGCCCACATCTGTACAATCTTAGCCCTGGTCAATCCTGTATAATGGGAGGAAACGGTGAAGTAGAAAGGCCCTTGGACTGGGAATCAAAAGTACTGGGCTCAAGTTCTGGCTCTGATATTTGAGACTTTTCTAAACCTCAGTTTCCTTATCTGTAAAATGGAGATGGCAATACTTGGTATGCTTATATCACAAGGTTGTAGTGATTATCAAATGATATGTATATGAAAGCAATTCCTGAAACATGAAAAGCATTATGCAAACAGGTTTTATTATTAGTTTGTGCTTGTAAGTTGTTACTACTACCAAATGTGTATATATGTAGGGGTGGCTAACAGACTGAGGTAGATTTCTTGACCTGTCCAATTAATAAGTAGTCATAGGCAGTGGCCAAAGAACATTGTGGCCTTTCTCCAGGTACATACCTCAGAATAATTCAATTTAACACATATTTACTCAGTCTACTAAGTGCCAGATATTGGGGATATAAAGACAAAAAAAAAAAAAAGAAATTGTCCCTGCCCTTCAAAACCTTATATTTTATTAGCAAACAGAGGTAGCTCCTCCGACAGCAGTACACAGGTTGGCTCCTAGTCAAGGGCTGGTCCTAGTCCTTTTTGGGGGGGAGAAACCTGAGACATTCTTGGTGGGGGGGCCATTAGAGGAGAGAGAGAGATAAACTCAGTTCATTCTAGATCTGTTGGGATGATGGCAGAACAGATTAGGGCCCCCAGGTTAGCCCACTATCCTAAGCAGCCCCTGGATCTGGGCAGAAGATATCTCCATGTGTGATGGCGAGAAATTGTTCCCAATATGGCCAGTCTGGACCGTGATGCTGGCTGCCACTCCTCTCTCCACCCCCATCCTGCAAGCCGTCTGACCTCCAAGGGATGGTAATGTCACCACGATGGGAACTCTGGGGCATGGGAATGATGGTGTGCATTTAGTGGGTAGAAATATTGGGCACTCCCAAGGGGCAGCACATCATTGATATACCAACGCGCAGTTCTTAACAAAAGGTCCACCTAGGGGTCAGGGTCTGTTTGGTACCAGCAACCCTGCTCTTCCTCCTCTGGTTCTCTCTTTCCCAAACAGTACGGGTCATAAAATCATAGAGCTGGAGAGCACCTTAGAGACTCTCTATCCAACCTTACTATTTTATAGTTGAGGAACTGAGGCCGAGAGAGATTTAAGTGACTTGCCCAGGATCACACATCCTCCTGGGCTGAATCTGAACCACTCCAGGTCTTTCTGACTCTAAACCCAGCACCCTGTCCACTCTCTATCTCCTAGGGCCTGTCTGCAGGATGATGGTGCTCCCAGGTCACTTGCAGGGATGGGATTGGGCTGCTGGCAGCAAGGGACATAAGGAGAACTTGGTGCTAGCACAGGCCATGGTGGAAACTACTTACTGATTATGGTCTCCTAAGGCACTCACCACATCCCCATAGGCAAAGAGCTGGTACAGTTCTTCCCTGGGTTTCTCCACCTCCACAGATATCTTGATCTGCTGCGCCTGGGGAAGCCTCTTGTTGTGCTGCTCTACCCGCTGCAGCATCTTGACCTGCTCAGATGCATTCCGGCCCTGGGTAGGGGGAGGAAGCAGGCAGAGGGGATCATACTATCCTCCCTGGAGAGCAGGGGGACAGAGCTTGTGTCTCTAACTGCAGCTCTCAGGGGCACCAAACACTAGCTTGTCCCAATCCAGTGACAAACTGTCTAATGGGAACCCTTGGGGTGCGGGAGGGGTGGGGGGGGGGATCTGGGTAGGAGGGCAGGGCAACTGGCCTAGAATTCTAATCTGTCACCAGCCCTCAAAAGGCTGCTAAGTATGGCAGAATGGACCCCAGCAGGCCTCAACAAAGGAGCCAGGATGCATGGGCATCAACTAAGACCAGTTCTGAGCTCTCTGCTCCTCCTACCAACATAAAAGCAGTCTAGAAGCAAAAGTCTTCCCCTGGTGACCCTTATCTGACTGTCCAAACTCAAGTTTCACTATTTGAGACTCAACACATGAGGCTTTTAGGGGTCTATTTCCTAATTTCATTCTTGGTCCCTAGGGGATTCAAGACCCAAGGCTAGTTAGCCCTCACCACAGGTGACAGACACACAGACAATAAATGGCTAGCAGACAATGAAGTCCCTGGGTCTGTGTTCTTGGGGAAGAATGGAAGTGTGGAAAAAAGGTAAGTGTCAATCTGAGTCCCTAGAGACTTGAGTAGGGCTTACCTCAAAGTGGATCCACTTGAACCGGTTCAGGTCAACCTTTTCAAAGTCCTTTGCTGACACGTCTGGCAAGTTTCTGAACAGTGAGTAAGGGATGGAGGAGAGGGAGAGGTGAGATGTGGAATAATCAGAGAAACCAGGAGGCTCTGGC